AAAAAAAAAAAATACTAACTTTAGATTACCTGCCATATGTCTCACAAAACTTATTTTGGAATATATATTTTAAAGAATCAAGAAGAAATATGCGTATGAGACAATAATCCCTGGTGAATATCTTCATTATGTATCACAAACACATACGAATAAAAATGTTCACAAAAATAAAATTATAAATACAGTGATACTCTTAATAGATGGCAGAATAAGTTGCCTTCAGGCGATTTCATATCTATTTTGCAGTTGCTTACAAAAGTGTTTTCTTTGGTTACAAAGAGTGAAATTATGGCCATTATATGTCCCCTACCCTGTTCTTATCTAATGGATATTACATTCTTACTCCCTTAAATTATTACATCCTTCTGAGATCTGTTGAAAAAGGCTTTGAAAATCTGCCTAAGCTATGTATTTATCACACTGTTTGTAGAAAATGATTATTTTGACTAAAAGAATATCTGTCCTACATTAAGAAAAAGGAAAAAAAAAAGCAGTTCCTTAATATCTGCAAAAATCACTGAAATGGCTGTTTAAAAATCACATATTGCATTATACTATTTAAGTTACTATGAATGTTTCTCACAGTTTTAGTAATTTTAGATAAATATATGACATAATATTAACACAGCTAAGCTAATGTTTCTCCAAGAGTGGGCCACGCATTACTGATGGAGCAGAGTATTCTTAAGCAATACAGAAATCAGTTTCCCCACAATCTTTATATGGGCATGTATACTAACTAGCTGGCCACCAAAAGTGGTCTCCACTAAACAATTTCAGTTCGGAAGTCTTTGTTTTCTCCTCTGCCACAGCAGTAGTGTCACTTGAGCCAACCAACATGGCCGAAGTGATGTTCCACTTCAAGATCTGTCCTTTACCAACAGCATGACCCACTGCTGCTCCCTGAGGCTCAGGGAACTTGAGCCACCAGCTGAGCACTCTGTTCCCTGCCGGAGAAAATTTGTTAGGCTACACAGACAGAGAGGAAAAGCCGGCCACCCAAGGGACCTGCCTGAGCTGAGAGTTCCAGCCATCTCTGCGGAGGCATCAGTCACCCAAGAAAGCCACCTTGGTGAAGCCAACCTGGCACCATCTGAGGGAGATGGGGAGTCACCCAACTCTTGAGACATGAGAAGTAGCAAAATTATTTGTATTTATAAAAAAATTACACTAAGGTGGCTTATTTCACTACAACACATAATCAGAATCGGAGCCAGTATCAAAAGTGAGTACTCTCATAGCAAAAAGTGTGGTAATGACTGTGAGCAGGTATCAGACAGAGACTGGAGGGCCTGAGGCACTGCTGATGAAGCTGAGAGGTCAGTGAGCAGCCCACAAGGGAAGGGAGGGAAGGGGAGGAGGGATTGGAGCCAGGCAGTGACAGGGAAGTAACTGAGCAGCTACCTGAGGCAGCGCAGAAGACAGAAGGGTCTCCAAAGGAAGCTGGGAGCTCAACTTGAGAGATTTGCAGGCAGAAAGCTAAAAATGCCAAACGTGCTAGGGCCACTTCTGATAAGGTACAAGAGGTATAAAATGAGCATTGGAAGCAGCTTTTTAGATTTCAAACAAAAGTTTAGAGAATATGATGAGTTCAGGACTTGCTAGGTCTTCAAATCTCTTGGGAAAAAGCCCTCAAAGTAGTAATAGGTTATGTGATAAGACCATATTCCCAGCACAATGCACTCTCGGGAGAAAAACCTAGGTTGCAACCATTCACCCCATGTCACCAACAGGGATGGCTTGCAGCAAGGTTTGCTGACTGCTTCATGCACAAAGGCTCCTGTGAATGTGAGTGCTGATTCCTTACAGACCTTCTTAGGAGTAGTTGGGTGTCTAAGAGGGCATCACAGAACATTTTCATGATGTTTCGAGGCCAGCTCACCTTGATGCAAGGAGAGAGGGACTGCCATTGAAGAATTTGGGCTTTGTGTTCTATTGTTTATTAATCCTATCATGGCTGTATCATTTAAAAGAAATGTTAAAGCTTGAAGGAAAAAGAGCTTGCTAAGAATGTGATGACATCAGTCACGTCTTTGAGGAGCTACGAGGACTAAGCAAGCAAGCTGCTTACTGCTTTATAGATACCATCTACAGAGAACGCCACAACACCACTTAGCTGTGTAGCAGGAGTACAAATGCTGTGGTGGAGGGAAGAAATAAAAGGTGCTGTGCACTGGCTCTCAGAGGCCTTCATGCAGAGTGACCTGTGTCACTCACTCAGCTGCACAGTGAACCCCATGGCTTCTTGTCAGGAAAGCGAAGACCATCATATGAAGGAGGACCGAAACTTGTGAGGTGCCTAAGGGTTCCATGGTTGCCCTATGTGTCCAGTTGGCCAAGTAAAGAAATAAGATGCAATCATGACTAATTTAGTAATATGCATATCCATTTGCTCAGATAAAGTTGAAGTGTTCTGTTGCCTAAACTATTTATAGACTTTTTTAATGAGTTTACCAGAAACCTTTTGGATTTTTATAAAAAGGCACTTGAAAGATTTGAAAGTTTTCTTTGTAAGCATTTTCCCTGTCGGAAGGCATGCGTGGGTAGATAGGAAGCCTTCCAGCTACGTAGGCAAAGGTGGCAGGTGTCCCAAGAACTCACACTCCACATCCTGCTGCACCAGAGACAAATGGTTATTTCCTCCTCTGACTCCACACCCAGTCCTGACTCTTGAGTCAACACAAACCTTGAAAAAGTGAAGCCCTTATTCAAGAATAACATCTTCACTTTCTGCTAAGCTAAATGTAACTTTATCATTACTAATCAAAAATTTTATCATTTTTCTCAGAGTTATATGATTTTAGGAATGCAATTTTGCAAACTGACTAGCTTTAGCATTACGTATGCATTCTTCAGCATAAAAACTTCATATTAAGTATGCTTATATTTACAGTTACTTCTATTTATGACAAGTAAGATTTTTTAAATGCATGGGCGAATATAAATTGTTTTGAATACACATGTGTCAATAAAAGTTAGCAAATCATACAGTAAACATAAATACATACAGCTAAAATTGTTCAAGGCTCATGCACATGCTGATATTTAGAAAGCAGAATTCATGAATGGATTATAATAATTATTCTGAATTTAAAAACAATTAGCCTAACAGCATTGTGAATTTAAAGTTATGCTCCTTTCACTGAAACTTTGGATCATAAGCCAATTTGTAAAATGTTAAGAGTTGCAAAGTTCTATCTTTTATTTAAACTGCGTGTCATGATCTCATAGGAATTCTGAAAATGTTACAGAGCAGAAGTCATAAATAAGAAGATTCTCTCTTAAAAAGAAGAAATAAATGAAAGGTAAAAACTTTCTTTCTTATGAACAAAAGAAACTGGTAACATAAATGAAATAAATTAGCATCTATATTAACATATTTATGAAACAACAGATGTATATTATGATAAAACAATTTACCTAAAATTATTTGAACATGTGCCTACCAATTCAACCCTGAGGAGAAGGTAGCAGGGCTTGGACCCAGAAGGTTGTGTGCTGAACATTTTTGTTAATAAATGATTGTCACTATCTAAATAAGTATGTTATTATCAGTCAAATTTAAATTATTACATTTTCTATCACTCTAAATTACTTTTGGAGGATATACAAGAAAAGTAAACACATCTTTCAAATAATTTTCTGCCAAGAAAGTTTTCTTTTAGACACAACTGGCCTTAAGACAAGACAGGAAACTTACTTGAATTTAGTTTAAATATATTAGAAAGTCCTCCAGCTCAGAAGAAATTATAGTGAAAGTTTGGCTTCTTTTGGTTTATGATATGAAA